GGCTCCTGTGTGTGCACACACAGGCGTGCGCTGACCGCACATGATCCCTCTGCTTGTCCTAGAGGATGCTCGCCCCCTGGCACCGAGGACCGCCCCCGCCTCGCTCGCTGGGGTCAGCGGCTTTCCACTGGGCGGGGTCGGTTTTGGGAGAAGCAAGCCAGAGACCCCGCATCCCCAAGTCAGCGTCCACGCTGCTCTGTCCCGCAGGACTTCGTGTTCTATGCGCCCCGCCTGCGGATCAACAAGCGGATCCTGCAGCTCTGCATGGGGAACCACGAGCTGTACATGCGCCGCCGGAAGCCCGACACCATTGAGGTGCAGCAGATGAAGGCCCAGGCCCGGGAAGAGAAGCACCAGAAGCAGCTGGAGAGGTGAGGGGGCGGGGCGGGGGCGACGGGGGGCGGGGCGACGGTGACGGGGGGCGGGGCGACGGGACGGGGATCCCAGTGTGCGGGCCCCCTGAGGCGGGGAGCCATCAGGGCGGCTGGGGTCAGTGCTGTCGCCTGTGTCCCCTGCCGGGTGGACGGGCCTGGGGCCGGTGAGGGGCTGGGGTGAGCAGGCTGCTGTGTGGACACCATGCTTACCTTCCCCTCCTGGAAACAGGCAGCAGTTGGAAACCGAGAAGAAGAGGAGAGAAACCGTGGAGAGAGAAAAAGAGCAGATGATGCGTGAGAAGGAGGAGCTGATGCTCAGGCTTCAGGACTACGAGGAAAAAACCAGGAAGGCGGAGAAAGGTGAGCGGGGCCTCCTAGGAGGAGGGGCTCTGGTCCGGTTGTGATGGGAGGGTCGGTTGGTGGGCACACAGGCAACCCGGAGGGACCCCTCTCTGTTAAGCTCACACCCAAAGTAGAGACTTTCAGAAGAGACGTGATAAAGTGGTGATTGGGATTAGAAGCTAGTTCTGTGGGTTCTGTGCCGAATGCTGCTGGACGTAAACCTTTTAAATTTCCCCGGGGTCCGGTGGGGTAAGCTTTGAATTATCTCCCTGTTCCTGATGAGGATGCGGAGGTTCGAGGAGGCGGAGCGCTCTGCCGAGCTCAGCCGAGCCCTGCTGCATAGCCCACCTTCTAAGCCGAGAGCCGGGGGAGCGGTCCCGATCTCCTGAGTTTGAGGAGAGCAGCCGGGAGAGGATTCAGCCAGCCGGTGGGGGGGGGGGGGTGTCCTCACCGTGGGGATGTGGTCTTCTGTGCCCTGAGGAACCAGTCGCCCAGTGTTCCCCGCAGGGTCTTTGGTAGGAGTGGCCCTGGACCCGGTCCCCTACTCTGCAGCGTAGGGATGATTCCTGCCACAGGCCCACCTGGTTCCCTGGGGGGAAATCAAGGCAGGATTTGAGGGGTTCCCGACCGCACCTCAAGCAGCTCTGGTTCTGCGCTCTCTCTAGAGCTCTCCGACCAGATCCAGAGAGCCCTGAAGCTGGAGGAGGAGAGGAAGCGGGCCCAGGAAGAGGCGGGGCGCCTGGAGGCTGACCGCCTGGCCGCGCTGCGCGCCAAGGAGGAGCTGGAGAAGCAAGCAGCCGACCAGATCAAGAGCCAGGAGCAGCTGGTAGGAGCCTCTGGCCTCGTGCTGAGTTACAGGGAGGCTGCCCCTGGGGACTGGCAGAGTGACACCTGCCTGATGATCATTTGTACATTACGGCGGGGCTGTAAAGTGATCTGAGGGTGTAAGGTGGCCGGTGGGGAGGGAGCCCCGCAGTGGTTGGGCCTTGGGTGGGGGGATGGACTCGGCAGCCCTGGCGAGGCACAGCCTCAGACACTGCGGGCGATGGACACCGCCGGCCAGGGATGGGGCACCATATACCAAAATATGTGACTCTTCCTTCACGAGTGGCATGCTGAAACCGTTCTGGAAATAATCTGGGCTTCCGTTTCTTCCCCAGGCCACGGAGCTTGCGGAGTACACGGCCAAGATTGCCCTCCTGGAGGAGGCGCGGCGGCGCAAGGAGAACGAGGTGGAAGAGTGGCAGCTTCGGGTGAGCGCAGGGTGCCGGCGGGCGGGGGCTCAGCCGGGACACCACCTTCTGGGCTCCCGGACGCTTCTGGACGCCCCGTTGGGAACTAGCTTTAAGTCAGATTACATGGGTGCCCCCAGGACGCCCAGAGTCCCGGCCCTGAGCCCTTCTGCCACTCGGAACATGCCTCCCCGCGGTGCGGGGGAAGACCTGCACCCTGGGGGTCTCCAGCCCCCGCGAGCCCACCTCTGGCTACTCCTTCCTGTGCCGCGGGTGGGCAGCCTCACCTCTGAGGCTCGGTTCCCTGTTGCAGAGCCAGGACGAGCTTGTGGGGTATCCAAACCCCCCACCCAGGGGTTTAGTCAGTTGCTGCTGTAATAGCCCCGCATCCTTCCGGCCAGCAGACTGCACGGTTCCCCGGGGGCTGCCACTGAGTTCAGAGGGTGGACCTCTGCCAGGCTGCGGGGCTCCTCTCCCCTCACCAGCCCTTTTCCACACTTCCTCACCTGCGGCGGCCCCCTCCCCTTCATGGGGGACCCCCATCCCCCAACCCGAGTTGTGTCCAGAAGACTCTGGTCCTTGGGTTTTTGAGGAAAGTGCTGAAGTATTAAATGAGAGAAGTGGGTTTCAAAACAGGTACAAACTAAACACATCTCCAGAGTCAGGATGGTGGTGCAGTGTCTCCCCCCACCCCCGCCCAAGCTGCTGGAAGGATTATGGGGTGAGAAAGGGTGTGAACCACCTGCTGACAGGCAGGGAGGAGCTTGGTAAGCAATGCCCAGCCTGCCACTGGGGGAAAGTAAAATCCAACATCAAAAAGCCTTTAGTGGCTAGAGGGCTTCATCATATTTTTTTCAAAAGTATATACAATAAGCACATACAGGGACTGTAAAGAAGTTATAGTACTTAGAAAAGTGTCTACATTCTCTCAGTGCCGCGGGCGCCGTTGACCCGGGTCTCCAGACCTGGGGGCAGCTGCACAGACGGTGGACCGGCCACCAGGTCAGCCAGAGCCTAGCCCTCAGCTCGGCGCTGCTGCAGCCCGCCACATCTAGCCGGCGGGGGAAGGGAGGGTGCAGGATCTTGCTCTCCGCAGGGACAGTGGGCCTTCAGTTAAAAGGTGGTTCGTAAGGATTCAAGCCCGAGGTTCTCTGTGAAAGTTCTCACCTGCCTCTCAATCTGCTTCCAAAGGCCAAGGAAGCCCAGGATGACCTGGTGAAGACCCGGGAGGAGCTGCACCTGGTGATGACCGCGCCCCCGCCGCCGCCGGCGTACGAGCCGGTGAACTACCACGTGCATGAGGGCCCGCAGGAGGAGGGCACGGAGCTGAGCGCCGAGCTGTCCAGCGAGGGCATCCTGGACGACCGCAACGAGGAGAAGCGCATCACCGAGGCCGAGAAGAATGAGCGCGTGCAGCGGCAGCTGATGGTGAGGGCCGGGGGCCGGGCGGGGGTGGGGGGCGCCCCGGGTGGGTCATGGAGCTGACCACGGGCTGCTTCCCCTTGCAGACTCTGACCAGTGAGCTGTCCCAGGCCAGAGACGAGAACAAGCGGACCCACAATGACATCATCCACAACGAGAACATGAGGCAAGGCCGGGACAAGTACAAGACGCTGCGGCAGATCCGGCAAGGCAACACCAAGCAGCGCATCGACGAGTTCGAGGCCATGTGAGGGGCCGGGCCTCGGCTCCGCCCCGCGCCGCCCCCGGCCCTGCGGCCGCCACCCCCTCTCCCGGCTCCGGGTCCTTTACCAAGAGAGCAGTTACTTCAGTGGGAATGTTCTGGGGCTGGGACCGGCGGCAGTTTCCCTGGTTTATTTTTTCCAATTGTATCATAGTGCCAAACAGGCCTGATTCTTTTTATTTTTATTGAATCATTTCCTGTTTTGTTTTTTTTTGCTTGGAGCAGGATGAAATCAATTAAGGAAAGATGCCTGTAAAGTCTGAAATAACTAACTCCTCCATGCTGGCATGTGTGATACAGATTCAGTATAATTAAAACCACATCGTGGCTTATATTCTGTGCCATACTTTTTTTCTATCTGAAATTAGCTGAAATTGATTTTCTTCTTGATTTCTATGAAGGATCCACCTCTGTATATTTGTTTTTTGAAGGGTGAAAAGTTTGACGCACTCCCTTATGCACGCACGCCATTTCCTTCCTCCAGGCCTTCAGTTGACGAAATCCTGTGATCATTCGATTCCTCAGGATAAACAATGCTGGATACTGCACTCTGGATTTTTTTTTTTTTTTTTTTGCTTAACAGGTAGAGGGCTACATTGTTGGACTTACACACCTAAATAATGATCAGCTATAGAGCATAGTATTTATATGTAAGTGATAACGTGGGTTTGTAACATTAGTTTAAAAAAGGGAAAGTTTCATTCTGTATATTTTGTTACCTTTTACAGAATAATAAAAGAATTACATATTAAAAACCACGGCCCTGAATCTGACATGACCTGAGGGCAGTAAGGAGGCTGGTTGACTGCTGTCTTCACATCTGGGAAATTACTTTTTTTTTTTGGTTTTGCTTTTAGTGTTCTTTTTGTGTGTAACTGACTATGCGCGCATTTGAATTTTCTATCAGAGCTGCGACAGCCACACAGGCTGTTCAGATAACTCGGACACCAGCCGTGAGGGCCCTTCTGACCTGGTTAGGTCCACAGGCAGAACCTGCTCCGACCTCCTCCTGCTCCCCAGCACGCCTGCGAAGAGCCGGTAGCTGTCTGCTCATTCCCGGCCTTCCTGTCCTTTCCCCTTGAGACGTCCTGCGGGGATGAACCCAAGGCAGGAGGCAGCGGCAGGTGTCTCCAGGCAGGCGCTGGAGTGGCAAGGGGCCTTTCTCTGACCCGCTGTCTGCACAGGCTGGCAGCTGCGCTGAGAGGCCGGCATTCCTCAGGTGACCCTTACCTGGCCAAAATGACCCCCAGCTGATTGCCTCCAGAAACAGTTTTCCACAGCCAAGGGGGAAGGAATTAAATACTCACCATGGTCTTTCCTCTTTGAGACACATAAGTTCACTATTTGCTAAGCACAGGGGAACCAGGGTAGCTGGTGAACATTTATTGAAATCTGGTCATTTTGTACATCTCCCAAAGCACAGACAACCAACCTGAGAGCAAGGTGTATGCATCGATTATTGATCTGTTTAACTTAAATACACACGGAAGGGTCTGGAAGAACATCTCAGTGGTGGGCTGGCTACAGACGGGCAGGTTCACACTGTGAGGGACCCCGCCCAGCACGTGTCCACACCCAGCCCCGCAGCACCTGAGCAGCAGTCAGCGCAGGATGAGGGTCATGTCTGTCCACAGGTTGGGGCTGGAAAGAACTTTCTGCCACTGGAGCTTTGCCTGTGAGCTTGTGTGTGCACCGCCGGGCTGGTCCTCCTCTGTGTGAATGAAGGGACAGGTTAGTGATGGCTGAGGGATGCCCACCGGCCCTTCTCAGCAAAGTGGAAAGTACCTTTTCTCTGCAACTTCAGACCATATGAAAATGTGCCCTGCCAGCGAGTAAGGGAGAGGACCCACCCCCAACAGCAGGTGTGGGCATGCTCAGGTGTGCTCCCCACGGGCCGACAGGCCTCCAAAAGCCTGAGGCGTCTTCCCTGTGGTTTGGAAGTGAGGAGAGGACAGCTTTGGGTGGTTTCTTCCAGAAGGGGGTCAAAGGTCTTAATACATCACTGTGGCTGCAGACGGGCAGGGAGCCAGACCAACCAGGCCCAGGCTAGCTCGCAGAGAGGAGCAGCCCTCTGTGAGAAGAGGGTGCTGTGGACAGGGTTCCTTTTAAAACTAATCTAACCGTGAGTCTGGTTTCTCCCCAGTGGTCTCAGAGGCCCTGGGAGTGTGTCTGGATATCCTGGTCATCATAGCATTTTGGGAGCCTTGCTGCCCCAGGAAAAGCCAGCAGCACTCGCTCCGTTAATGAAATCATTTCTGAATTGCCGTTTGTTTGGGTTAAGAAGATATTCTCCTTTAAGAAAATAATCCTTTCATGAATGATGCCAGAAACAAAAGCAAAGGCTGTACCCAGCCCATTTTGAGACCTGTCATTTTTTGTTTCTTTAGCAGATCTAAATCCGATTTAAATCGTTGAAATACTTTGCTGTATTACCACTCAGCTGTAAAAACTAGACTAACTGCCATTTATGGTGGGTAAGGAAAAGGCAACCCACTCCAGTATTCTTGCCTGGAGAAGCCCATGGACAGAGGAGCCTGGCAGGCTACAGTCCATGGGGTCGCAAGAGTCGGACACAACTTAGTGACTAAACCACCAGGCAGTTTCAAAGCCAATTAAGTTACCTGCCACCATGGAAAGTTTTTCTTTTTAATGGTATGAATGTTAGAATGGTCACTAAAGATCAGACAGACTTACTCAAACCAAGCCTGGCACCTCCCAGGAAGCGGTCATTCACCCCGAAGGTGGCCTGGTCCCAAACAGTCAGTTCTAGGCTGGACTGCCTCAGCTGCGAAGGGGTGACGCCTTTGAAAACGAAGGAATGCTTCCACTGGGGACAGGCTTGCTTCTTCAGGACGGGGGACTTGAGTCTCAACCTCTGTTGGTCTGGCAGAGTGAGACAGCTGCACAGGCAAACAATCAAAAACACGTAAGCTCGGCCCGCCACGAGCCCCGCTCCCTGCTGCTACTTGCTCCTTGGTGAGACCAAGTGCTCAGAAAGTGCTCATAAACCCACCGCAGAACAAAACCTGTAAGCAAGGAGCGAGCATGGGAATTGTGAGACCTGGCTCTGTGATCTCTCACCAGGATATTCCAACTTTCAGAGTCGAATTCTGCTCCGAGGATTAAGGGTGCTTTGGGATTCTGGGCCACGTGGCCCTAGGCTTAATCTGCCTCCTCGGTGTGACCACCATCAGGCCACAAGGAGGCTACCCAGGGAGCAGCACTCTGCACACACGTTATCTCCTTTAACCCTGTTCTCAGACAAAAGAAATCCAGGAGGGCTAAGTCAGTCGCTCGCTCAAGGCCGTACAAGTAAGTGGCAGGCTTAGGACACGAACCCACTTCTATCTAGACAAGGGAAGCCGTCATTCTTCCATTATGTCACTGACTGGGGATTTAGCAGTTACGTATAATTATTAACAGTGTTTGCTTTACTTTTGGAGACACCAATAAATGCGTAGTGAATGAGACAGGCAGTCATCCCCAAGAGGAGATGTCAAGTGTCAAGCAAAAGAAATATTTACTAACCGTGTTGCTTTCTGCATGTTCCCCTCAGTCACCGGAGCTGTCACTGGTGTCATGGGAAGGACTGATAAGATTTGGGTTTAGTTTAAAACGTATTCCAAATCTAGCTTCAGCATGCCTGAGTCCCATGAATTCTTGGAAACTAGTCTTCAACACACATTATGTTGGGTTTTCATAGGAAAGCTAAAATAAGTTTAAAGTGGCTCACACTTTTGGTGTGCCCTTACAGGGACAATGCCATATGTGTCATGAAAGTGAAAGTGTTAGTCGCTCAGTCGTGTCTGACTCTCTGCAACCCCATGGACTGTAGCCCGCCAGGCTCCTCTGTCCACAGGATTCTTCAGGCAAGAATACTGGAGTGGGTAGCTGTTCCCTTCTCCAGGGGATCTTCCCGACCCAGGGATTGCACCCGGGTCTCCTGCATCACTGTCAGATCCTTCAGCATCTGAGCCACCAGGGAAGCCCTGCCTGTATGTGTGATGGTCATCAATAAATAATGATTGATTACAATGGAATACCTACCCCTTAACAAATGAGTTTAAGGTGCCATCGGACCGCACAGGTAGATTCTTGGCTCCCAGCACCACCAAACAGAGCTGACCGTTCTGTGATGGCTCGTCTCCTGTCCCTAGAAGGAAAGCTGGCATTTACCATCAACCTTCTACAATTTCTACAAACTTCTACAGCATGCAAGGCTATCCCCTGAAACTGGTAGTTTAACCAGAGGATGTGTTACAACCCTCAGGTCCCCAGAACGAGAGAGCAGAGGATCACGTCTACCATGCATGGCTCCCCTGGCCCTGCTCACATGCTGCCCACTGCATCATCAGGGAAGGATTCAAAACCCAGGCACCCAGCAGCTGCCAAGAAGCATGAAGAGCCAAGGAGAGGAGGCAGCAGGAGCTTTAACCAATTGTAGCCAGTGGGCTGGGAAAGAGACCTCTGTCCAGAGGCTACGATGACCACAGGGTGTGAGCTATTGGTCTGCTGGCGGTCCTGCAAGCATGGGCAGCAGAATTCCCTCTTCTATCAAACAGGAGATCACTAACAGGGAAGCCTGGTGTGCTGCAGTCGACGGGGTTGCACAACTTAGTAGCCGAGAACAACATTGCTAATAACGGGGAATTGCTTCCTCTCCGGTCTTCACTGTCCGCCCTCCCCGCTTTCCTGTGCCCCCGTTATCTGAGTCAGTTACACCTCGTGAAGCTGAGGACCTTGAACCCTCCTCCCTTCTGAGCAGCCGCCGCCCACGTGGCGCGGAGCCGGTTGCTGGGAGCCTGGCAGGCACTTCAGCCTGGAGTTGGAGGCGAACTGGACCATAATGCAGGTGTCGGTCCACACAGAGGGCCATGGCCAGACTGTTTCTCCGGTGAGAGACTATGCAAGCTGGCTGCCTGGGAGGAAGCCCCCAGGCAGGCGTCCTAAGAGCCCGTCGAGTGGGCATCACAAGCCTGGTTTTGGTCACTAATTTCCCTCCTAAGTCGAGGGGTCCAGAGAAGCAGGCTGGGTTTCGCGGGTTTGGTGGGTGTTCTGGAACACGTGCTCAGTGGGCAGCAGAAAGGAAAGGCTGCGGCCTCTCAGGCCATCTGCTGCCCCAGGCTCGGGTACAGTGACAGGGATGGACAGATGTTTGCAGGCAGGAGGCCACCCACCTTCTGGAGCCTCCTGGAGCTCTCTGGGCCCTGCAGGGAGGACCAGCTTGGCCCGGACTGCGAGTTCTCCGTTATTGGTGGGAAGGCTGTCTTCGGATTTCTCTGCCTGTGGGATATGAGGCAGAGCTCAGAGGCAGGTGTCCCCAGCCCCCAGAACCTTCTGGACTCCTCTCATTGTCTCAGCGCTGTCCATAAGTGTCCCCTTCCAACCTCCCCGTGGCCCACCCCATCCCGGCAAAGCTTCTGCAGGTCTGAGAGAGCCCAGGAACCGGGGCAGGAGGTGCGCCAGCCTCCCACCTGGCGAGTGAGTGAGTGGAGAGGTTTGGGGAGGGGAACAGAAGCGTCTAGATTCATTCTGGTCCCCCAGCAGGGAGCAGCCTCCACCCTCAGCTTCCAGAAATCTGCGACAACCCCATGGTTGCCTCCTGGCAGGGCCGAAAGGGTGGGCCTGTGAGCAGACCCCCACCCCGAGCCAGCATGAAGAGTCACTTGTTTGTCAGCTGGGATTAGGAGGGACGCCTCTCAGTCTGGGGATCTCAGCTCCTCGCCTGCTTATCAAAGAGATGACCAGCCTTGGCGGCGGCCTGCCTTAACCTGAATGAGATCCTGGGGGAAGAAGACAGAATGGGGCCCCTCGACAGGGAGCTGGGGGGGGGGGGGCACGTAGACTGCATCTGGCAGGGAAAATCAGGAGAGCCTTCACAGAGGAGTGGGGATTTAAGCGCCGTCTTGGCCTGACCTTAGAGATTCCAAGAGGAGGTCTGAGGATAAACTGAGGTTCTGAGAAGAGCAAGCACAGGATGGAGAGGATTGGGGGGGCGTTGTGCAGACCCCACAGAGAAAACAGCTGGGAGCAGGGAGCGGGGGGACACTGCCAGGCCCAGGCTTAACCCTGTAGAGGCCAGAAACCAGAGCTGCTTCTAAGAGGTGCAGCGTTAAGTCACTCAGTCCTGTCTGACTCTGTGACCCCGTGGACTGTAGCCCTCCATGCTCCTCTGTCCCTGGAATTCTCCAGGCAAGAACACGGAGTGGGCTGTCATTCCCTTCTCTGGGGGAATCTTCCTGACCAGAAATCGAACCTGGGTCTCCCACACTGCAGGCAGATTTTGTTTACCATCTGAACCACCAGGGAAGCCCACTTCTAAGCAGAAGCATCCTGAAAAACAGCCCCTCAGAGCCCTGGAGGGGAAAACAGGGACCAGGGCGCCGGGGCCCGTCCCAGCCCTTGTAAAGGCCCTGCCAGACTCTCATGTGGCCTCGTACCCTGCTGCCGCCTCTTAGGAGGTGACAGAGCCCCTTTCTCATCCATGCTCTCTCCCTATACTGGGTCTTGGCACAGAAACATGGGCAAAGCAGCCGCCCCAAGAAACACAGCCCTTTCTCCCCGGCCTCTCACCTGCGTGGCCACCGGCCTGGCCCGCCCTCCCGGCCTAGCTGAGCTGGGACCCCTGCTGGTCTTCCTGAGGACATGGGGTCCGGCCATTCTGTCTTCCTGAGGACACGGGGTCCGGCCATTCTCACCTCTGAGCATTTGCTTGGGGGTGGAGGCACGGCGCACGACAGCCCCGCAGGTCTGGGAGGGGATGGAGTCCCACCTGCCCGGCAGCCTGCCTGCCTCCAGGTGTGGACTTTACCTTGAGAAGGTCAAGCCTCCTGAGCTGACAGCAGGTGTCCCCGAAATCTGGGAAGCATGTGGATCCACCAGGCTGTCACCTGGGCCTGAACCCCCTTCCTCACCTGTGCTGGTGTCTGGACCACACTGAGGGTGGGGCTATTTGGGACCCTGAACACAGCTGAGCAGGTGAGACCCCAGCCCACCCCCTAATCAGGGAGCCGGGCTGAAGCTCCCACTGCAGGGTCACAGGCAGGCAGGGGCCCCGGCTCCCAGGGACCTTCTGGGATCCTCTTCTGGGATCCCTTTGATGAGTTAGTGTGGTTCTCGGGCTGGGGGTGGGGGCTGTGCTGAGTCGCTCAGTTGTGTCCGACTCTTTGCGACCCCATGGACTGTAGCCCGCCAGGCTCCTGTGTCCATGGGATTCTCCAGGCAAGAACTGCAGTAGGTTGCCATGCCCTTCTCCAGGGGATCTTCCCCACCCAGGGATCGAACCCGCGTCTCCTGCCTTGCGGGCAGATTCTTTACCATCTGAGCCACCAGGGAGACCTTCGAGCTCACCTTGGCCCGGAGCGGATACCAGCGGAAGGACTGCGACACTCTGTCTTCGAAGTCCCACGTGGCCAGAGGGACGATCACTTCTCCAAGAAACACCCTCCGGGTGAGCACGCCCAGGTGCCACACGGACACCTGCAGCTGCCGGCTGGCCAGCTGGGCCAGCTCCACCTGGTACTGCGGAGGCGGACAGAGACAGAGAGCCTGGCCTCACAGCTCCCGGACGAGTTTTAGTCTGTTTCCCACACTGCCCCTCGTTCCATAATGTATCTTTAAAGTCTTAATTAATCTGGTTATTTTCTGCATGGCTACGAGCCCCGCGAGTGCAGTCCAGACCAACAGTCCACCACGCAGCATCTGCGCCCTTTCAGAGACAGGTGCTTCGGGGAGCAAAGCTTTCGGTCCCCCGGGTCTGCCGGCCTCGGGGCACCGCTGCACGCTGGGCGGCCCTCCTTGACCCCTTGCTGCTCTCAGGGGCCTCCCTGACTGGTGGCCCCTTCCTGACAAAACAGGACGACTCCCTTTGGCTGACCAGGCCACAGTGCAAAGTAAGACCAACTTTCCATTGCCAGCAAGGCCCTCGAGGCTGGGCCGGCAGACCCTGGCTTGCTAGTCTCCACGGGTCACCAGCGTCACCGACCTCAGAGAACAAGGGTTAAGGTCACAGCCACTGTCACTCAGATCGAGTGTCACGGTTCACCCTTCCCCAGCCCTCCAATGAGTGGTCTTCCAGGGGAGCACCCACACCCCGTGGAGCACAGGAAGTCTCCCCAAGGAGTGCTCTGCTTAGAAAACTGAGGGTTGGTTTTCAGATCCTCAACTTTCACATGCACATTCCTCAAAATCGGTGAAACCTGGTATCTTACTCCTGTGACCTCCGGGGAGCTGAACTAAGGGGTCTGAGATCCTAGTTTCCAACACACTGTTCATGATTGCTCGGCTTCTTCATTAGCCCATCTTTCCATCTTACATATGATTTCTATGAAAGTCTAAAGCTGGGTCCATGTTGGGATGTTCTACATTTAGAATAAAGATCGGTTCTTCTCAATGTATCTGGGAAGTCTTAGAGGATAACCAAGATACTCACAATATACTAGATAAAACACTGCACATGAGTTGAGATTCTGGGTGCCCCCTAACTAAGGTAGTGAAAACTTTATCAAAGTATATAATACTTATCTAAACTATAGTCAATCCTCATCTTTGTCTCATTTCATAAAATATGAGATATTTGTCTGCCTCTCTTCAGTACAAAAGACCTTAAACGTGTGACGAGTAATTTTATGTGTAAGCTCACAATGTGTGACACAGCACAGAGTTTTTCAAAATTCTGGTATGTAAGCAAAGCCACGTGAAGACCAGGGTCAGTGATTTGCTTCTGGAGGAGCATCCCAGACCAGTAGCACCTCAGGCCCCATCCACACTTACTGAATCACAAACGAAAAGAAAGTTGCTAAGTCATGTGTCTGACTCTTGCGACCCCATGGACTGTAGCCCACCAGACTCCTCTGTTCATGGGATTCTCCAGGCAAGAATACTGGAGTGGGTTACCATTTCCTTCTCTAATCTGCTTTTAAAAGCAATTCCTTGGGGAGTCCTTATGAATGTAAATTTTGTGAAGGACTGCCTGACCATCCTGGGTCATGGGTGTACTTTTAAGGACTCTCCAGGCTTCAGCTTCCCCATTGCTAAGTGAGGATGCCAACACACGGCTCAGAGGGTACATAAAGCACTTGGTCACAGCAGGGGCACAGAAAACAACGACTATTTTCATGTCCCGAGTAGAACTCTTGTGCCAGCTGCCCAGATGGCCCCTGGCTGGGAGTTCACAAATGCCCCTACTTGCCAAGGAAGGCAAACAAAGTCCTCTCTCTTCTCAGGCCTGACGCATGGAATCCCTGGGCTGACTAGCCTTCAGTGGGTACATCTCCGTGCATCTGGACTGTCCTTCCAGCTCAAGGCCTCCCACGCCTGTATGCTCTCTACCCTCACTAGACATCACCTGCAAATTCTCCACCCTGTATCCCAGTGGGAGGCGGTCCCTCCCTGGTCTCTGCCCTAAGCCACCGGTCACAGTTCTTAGCGCCAAAGAAAATGGAAACCTGAACAATTCTTCCAGAATTTTTTTTATTTTTTAGTTGTTGTTGTTCCAGCTTTCTGCAACCCCATGGACTGCAGCACGCCAGGCTTCCCTGTCCTTCACTATTTCCTGGAGTTTGGTCAAACTGAGGTCCATTGACTCAGTGATGCCATCCAACCATCTCATCCTCTATTGTCCCTCTTCTCCTCCTGCCCTTAATCTTTTCCAGCATCAGGGTTTTTTTCCAATGAATCAGCTCTTTGCATCAAGTGGCCAAAGTATTGGAGCTTCATAAAAGAAGGAGAGACCTGGGTCTGCCAGATACTATGACAAAGAAGTACTTTCACAAATATATTAACTCAGCAGTTTCATTTACAGGGCCCCTGGTTTGAGGATACCTCTCTAATAGTCATAGAAATTCAACAGAACAGACCAATTTTAGAAACTGAAGTCACTCAGTCGGGTCCGACTCTTGGCGGCCCCAAAGACTGTGGACTACCAGACTCCTCCGTCCATGGGACTTTCCAGGCAAGAGTACTGGAGTGGGTTGCCATTTCCTTCTCCTTTAGAAACTGTGAGGCAGCCCATTTCTTTTTCACCTTTGTCTTGCAAATCATTAATCCAAAGCCATGCACCGTCCATCAGACTCAGCACTTTTTCTGTACAAAGGCTGAAATTTACTTTATACCACTTGCCACTGATTGACAGAGCCCTGCCAGAATATTTCAGTGTCTGCACTTACATTTAACTGACTCAAGAGTTTGGAGGAACCACTGGCTGGACTCTGGCCCCAGAGGCCCAGCCCGGGATGGGGACACTCAGCCCAGCAGCATTTGCCCAGCAAGTACCTTCAAGGTCTCCTGAAAGGTCGGCTCCACCGTGTTCTTCTGGACGCTGGTCTTGCGTTTTCCCTGGGACGATCTGTCAGGCAGCAGATAGGTCTTGACGTACCTGGTGGCCAAACGCAGACAGCCAGGGGTGAGAGCCCAGCGTGCGGGGCAGGCAAAGGGTTCAGGAGGAGAACCGCATGTCAGCGGTTTCTTGAACGCCGCTTCCCGCTGCATCTGGGGTTGACAGAAAGGGCTTAGCGGCTGCCCCAGTGACAGTGCTGGGAGCACAGCCCCGGCTTACACAGTCTTTGGCTGTGTATGTTTCTGGGGGTGTGAAGCCCCCTTGCTTCTCTCATGCCCCCATCCTCGGATCTGGATCCCTCATCACGCACCATCACTCATCACTGGTGATGCCCTGGGAAGCGGGGGCTTTCTGGGGGCTCGGTGGGCGGCAGGTTTCTCATCCACCCGGATCCTGAGGCCTGTGCCAGCTTGTCCTCACTCCGCCTGCCTCTTCTCCCCAACCCTCAAGAAAAAAACGTGGAAACGGAAAGTACATGCCGCACGCCGTGCTCGTCCTGTGGGGCCTCAGACACTGCATCCTGATGGCTGAGGACCAGCCTCCCTGAGCCCCTCTCCCCGGGTCTGGAGGCCGCCCACCCCCTGGAGCCCCGTCCCAGGCTGACCCCTCCGCTCAGGTCCTGAAGCCGTCCTTCCGGGCTTTTCTGGCAGTGGCACTGATGGTGGGGACACCACGTGCTCAGGTCCTGTCCCAACGAGTTAGAAACCAGCCCTGCTCTCCAAAGACCATAGGGAGCAGGAACCCTCCCCCGATCGGGGTCCCCACTGGAACCCCAGCCTCAGGCCTCTGCCTCACGTTCAGTCATGCTTCTTACAGAGCAGGACTCAAGGCTCATCACCAACACCTCACTGTTAGTTGACTCAGATCGTTGATCATTACAAGACCTCACATATGGAAAACCAGAGATAGCAAATATATTTATACAGCATAAAGCATTATAATAAAAGACACACCCATGTTATCTAGCTAAGTCCTCTATTTCCTTTCTTATCATCTGTCTGGATGTTCTGTTACTGAGATTGGAGTATTGATACATCCAACTATTACTGTAGAACTATTGGTTAGCCAAAGAAGTTCGTTTAAGTTTTTCTACAAGATCTTACCCAATATGAATATTCATTGGAAGGACTGATGCTGAAGCTGAAACTTCAATACTTTGGCCACCTGATGCGAAGAACTGACTCATTGGAAAAGACCCTGATGCTGGGAAAAATTGAAGGTGGGAGGAGAACGGGATGACAGAGGATGAGCTGGTTGGATGGCATCACCGACTCAACAGGCATGAGTCTGGTAAACTCTGGGAGTTGGTGATGGACAGGGAGGCCTGGCGTGCTGCAGTCCATGGGGTCACAGAGTCGGACACGACTGAGCAACTGAACTGAACTACTCAATATTTCTCTCTTCAATTCTGTCAGTTTTTGCTTCTTATATCCTGATGGTCTGTTATTAGATATACAGACATTTAGGATCATTTTATCATCTTGTTGTACTGACCCTTTTACAAACATATAACGTCCTTTATCTCTTGTAATCTTTTTATTTTTTCTTTTTTATTCTCTTGTAATCCTTTTAGACTTAACGCCTGTTTGTCTGATGATGGTACAGCCACCGCTGCTCGCTCTTGTTCACCGTCTGTATGCAATATCTTCTTCCATTTGTGTCTTTGGATCTCAAGTGAGTGAGTCTCTTGTAGATGGTATACAGTTACATTCTCTGTTTTTATCTATTCTGCCAGTTTCTGTCTTTTGATTGGACATTCTAATTCATTTTTCTTTAAATTAACTACTAATTGCACTTGTCTGTGTGTTCAGGCGTGTCTGACTCTTTGTGGCCTCTTTGGTCTGTAGCCCAACCCGGCTCCTCTGTCCATGGGATTTTCCAGGCAAGAATACTGGAGTGGGTTGCCATTTCCTCCTCCAGGCAATCTTCCCAACCCAGAGAGCAAACCCTGTGTTGACTGATAAGAAATATTAATACATCTGTCATTTGCTGTTTCTTTTGCCTTATAGCTTGTGTGCCCTCCGTGTTCTTTTGTGTTTAGCTGATTTTCTGTGGTGAAACATTTACATTCCTTTCTTGCTTGTTTTGTTTTGGCTTTCTATAGCTATTTTCTTTGTAATTACTAATGGGATTGCATTTAACATCCTAAAGTTATAGCACTAATTGAATTAACACCATGTTAACCTTAACAACTCCTTTTCAGCTCTATCCTCACCTCTTTCCTTTGCTGATGTTACAAAATTATATCTGCATGTGTGTGCTAAAGTCTCCTCAGTCCTGACTCTTTGGGACACTATGGACTGTAGCCCACCAGGGTCCTCTGTCCATGGGATTTTCCAGACAAGAATCCCGGAGTGGGTTGCCATTTCCTCCTCCAGGGGGTCTTCCTGACCCAGGGATCAAACCCGGGTCTCTTACGTCTCCTGCACTGGCAGGCAGGTCCTTTATCACTAGTGCTGCCTGGGAAGCCCATGGGTCCAAAAACAGAGTAATAATTCTTTTAAATGCATTAGTCTCTTAAATTATGTCAAAGACCAAGTGTGGAGTGACAAGCCAAAATGACACCCATAATCTTTCAATAGGTAGTAGTGTCCTAAGTCATATGAAAAACCAAAAGTGGAATTATCTCCCACTGTTTACATTTATGCTACCTTTTGTAATTGCCAGTCTATTTGCCATTATTGAGGTCTTGATTTTTTCGTATGTCTTGAGTTACTGTCTAGCGTCCTTCCATTTCACTTCCAGGGTCATCTTGAGCATTTCTGGCAGGGCAGGGCAGGGGGTAACGTACTCCCTTAGCTTTTCTTTAGCTGAGAATGTTGCGATTTCTCCCTCACTTTTGAAGAACAGTTTTGCTGCGTGTTTTGTTTCCTTTTAGCACTTTCTGTCTCTGTCTCTTTAGCACCTACTGCCTTCTGTCCTCTAAAATGTCTGATAAGAAATCTGCTGATATTCTAACTGGGGAGTCCCTAGTACTGACAATTCACTTCTTTCTTGCTGCTTTCAAGAGTCTGCCTTTCAAATGTTTGTTTATAATGTGTCTCTGTGGGTCTCTGAGTTCATCATCGTTGGAGTTCAAAGAGCTTCTTTGATGTTTATACTTATGTCTTTCACCAAAACGGGGAAGTTTTCAGCCATTATTTCTTTCTTAAGTTTTCTCTCTGCTCCGTGCTTTCTCTCTTCTCCTTCTGGTCTGTATGTTGCCTATATTGGTTCACTTCATGGTCTCCCAAAGGTCCTTAAGGTTCTGTTTGCTTTTCTTTAACCTTTTTTCTTTCTGTTCCTCAGACTCAGGAATTCCATTATCCTATCTTCAAGTTCACCTACTCTTTCTTTCACCAGTTCATGCCTACCTTTGAATTCCTCTAGTGAAATTTTCACTTCAATTATTGCAGCTTTCACAGCTCCCGAATTGTTTTCTTTTTAGGATTTCTATCTCTTTATTGATATTTCTATTTTGTTTTTTACATCATGTTTTAAAAATTTTCTCCACATCTTTCTTTAGTTCCTTGAGCATCCTTAAAACTGTTGTTTTAAAGTCTTTGTTGAGTAAACCCACCATCAGATCTCTTTCAGAGAAAGCTTCTGTTACTTTATTCTTCCCCTTTGAATGGGCTATACTTTCCTCTTTCAGGGGGCAGTTTTAGGACAATGATTATTCCAATTTTCCTGGAGCAGGAGGTACAGACAGAGGAATAACAGAAGTTAAGACTAGAAAGACAGGAGGGATCTGTGATGGAGAGCCAGCGTGCTTTAGGAATGCAGAGGAGCTACTGAAGGTTTCAGAGCAGAGGAGGGTTTGATCGGACCAACAAAGCACTCCTTTCCCCTCACTGGTACCAAGGGAGACGGTGGTGGCCCCACTCCAGTCCTCTCGCCTGGAGAATCCCAGGGAAGGAGGAGCATGGTGGGCTGCGGTCCATGGGGTCACGAAGAGTCGGACACGACTGAGCGACTTCACTTTCACTTTTCATTTTCACGCATTGGAGAAGGAAATGGCAACCCACTCCAGTGTTCTTGCCTGGAGAATCCCAGGGACGGGGGAGCATGGTGGGCTGCCGTCTGTGGGGTCACACAGAGTTGGACACGACTGAAGTGACTTAGCAGCAGCAGCAGCAGAAACTGGTACTAAAAATTGTGTGCTAAAAATGTCCCATGTTGGGAAAGAATAAGACCAAAATGTGGGGCTTGCTTTAAACCATACACAGAAAATCAGATCCAGCTCTAACATGAAAGTATTTAAGTTTGAAAAAACTTCAATAGAAGATGACAGAGAAGAATGTATTTAAAATTTTCAGGTGGAATTCTCCTACAAATTCAAAAGGCAGACATTTTAAAGGAAAAAAAGAATAAAACAGACATTACCAAATTCTATACAAGAAAAGTTATCACAATGTTAGAAAACAGCTAGGAGAAGACATGTAAGATACGTATAACCAATGGAGAGTTGTATTGAAAATGGATTTTAAAAAAGCCAAACCCCTGTAAATAAATTTTTAAATGACAACTTGATAGAAAATGGGACAAAAGATATGGATGGGGAGTTCACAGAAGAGGAGTGTACCTTAAGTGATGGATGCATGTATACATCTTTGTTATTAATCAGGGAGATACATGTTAAAATAATGATATCAATTCACATCTACCGATTGGAAGAAAATTAATCTATTTGTGGGTTGTGTGGACAGAATTTTATTTTTCCTACATGGAAAATCAAATTTCCCAGGACCATTTACTGAATTTCACCATTTACTGAATGTCATCATTTCCACATTGATTATTAATAGCCTCTTGATCATTTATGCTCTCATATATCCTAAGATCTGTATCTGGACTTTTGATTCTGCTCTATTGACCTCCTGTCTGTCCTTGCATCCATGAAGCATTGTTTGAATTACTAAGCTTCATAATAATTCTTAACACATCTTTTTGTTTTTACTATTGCCTTGGTTATTCTTGGACTTTCATTTTTCCATATAAATTTGAGAATCAATAAATCTATTATCACATGCCAAAACTTAGACAAAGAAACTTACGGATTGCACTTTTTCTTCTTTTCCTCTCCAAAGGCAAGGTTCTTACAGGCTCTGATGCATATTTCTAAAGAATGAGTTCTGAGGCAGTAACGAATGGCAAATTCTATTTCTCCAGTGACATTAGCATTGTCAAAATTGCCCATCTCTGTGCAAGTGCTGTTAATGCTGATTAAACTTCCCTGAAATCAAGAACGACAGATAATAACAAGTTACTTCACAGCTAATCAATGTGTGTTTTTGCAGTTCTGGCTTCAAGATATCAAATAAATCAAAATTCACACAGAGCACACATCCTGACTCACATTAAGTTAATAAACATGCCATCTTGTACTTTGCACAATGACTTGCCACATTTTCTGTCCAAAGGAGATGAGGACATGACTCTGAGTAAACTCTGGGAGATAGTGAAGGACACAGAAGCCTGGAGGGCTACCGTCCATGGGCTTGCAAAGAGTCAGACACGACTTAGCGACTGAGCAACAAAAACAACATGGAGATGAGGAATCTTCAGAAGGGCTGGTCTTGCCCAGATATGCTGTTTGCCTAGCCATAAAGGTTACACAATCTCATTCTTGAACACAAACCACTTGGGAAGATGTGAACTGTCTCCTGTGCAATTCTGCAAAGATAAATCTTCAAGGGCAGATAACATCCATGGTACGAATAGCCCTGAGGAGGGCAGCAGAGTCTGGGGGCCAAGTGATTGGGAATTCGATAGAGCTGGATTCAACTGCTGGTTTTACTAGTCATTAGCCTGTCAAAGTCTAGATGGAAAATTAACACTGTTCTCATAGGGCTGTGGTAAGAACGAAATGGACTAGAGTATGTAAGATATAGTCAAGGCTATGGTCTTTCCAGTAGTCATGTATGGACGTGAGAGTTGGGCCAAAAAGAAGGCTGAGTGCTGAAGAATTGATGCTTTTGAATTGTGAGGCTGGAGAAGACTCTTGAGAATCCACTGGATTGCATGAGATCAAACCACTCAACCCTAAAGAAAATCAACCCTGAATATTCATCAGAAGGACTGATGCTGAAACTGAAGCTCCAATACTTTGGCCACCTGATGCTAAGAGCTGACTCACTAGAAAAGACCCTGATGCTGCAAAAGATTGAAAGCAGGAGGAGAAGAGGGTGGCAAAGGATAAGGTGGTTGGATGACATCACGAACTCAATGGGCATGAGACTGAGCAAACTCGGGGAGACACAGAAAGACAGGGAGGCCTAGCACGCTGCAGTCCATGGGGTTGCAAAGAGTCAGATACGACTTGGCGACTGAACAACAACAGTGTAAAATATGCAAAGACAATAATAAGTTGTGTTTCAATTGTTGTGGGTCCCCAGAATGAAAAACAAAACCACCAAAAGAACCAAAAAGACAAGAAAGAACAAAATGCCTTATCGCTGTTCAGTCTGCTTAAGTATTTGCCACCCTTTGCATGCCACCAGTCTCAGGGTTGACTCTACAGACAGAGGGAATTCAACGTGATTGCCATTCTCCCAGCGGGTTCCTCAATACTGTAAAACACCCTGGGGGAAAAAAAGAAAAAAAAAAAAAGAAGAAAGCCTGAGTCTCTCTCACTAGAGAGCGATCAAAACAAAACCAAGAACTCCGAACCTGAACTCATGCCAAGAACCCAACCAACTTCACCACACCCAGGTCCTGGCCCTGAAACATGTTATCTGCCTACACCCACACAACTGTTGGGATGGGAAATGTGTTTTAAGCGTTACACACTCAGAAAGGCATGGAGTGGTCAGACCACACAAATGAGGGAGGCACAAGAGTGAAGATGGAAGATGATGGAGAGGGAGGCTTGGCCAAAGGTCTGAGCTGCTCCAGAGAAGATGAATGGAGGTGTTAAGAGTTCTGATAATTAACCTGGCACTCCTGGTGAGCCTCCGCCCCGGGCCACGTCAGACTAGATTGTACTACAGCGACTTTGCTGCCAAGAACACGCTGTTGTTGTTGTTCACTGGGCAACTTGTGTCCAACTCTTTGCGACCTCATGGACACAGCACGCCAGGCTCCTCTGTCCTCCACTGTCTCCCAGGTTTGTTCAGACTCATGTCTACTGAGTCAGCGATGCTATCGAACCAGTCTCATCCAATGAGTCGGCTCTTCCCATCAGGTGGCCAGAGCACTGGGGCTTCAGCTTCAGCATCAGCCCTTCCAATGAGTACTCAGGGTTGATCTCCTTTAGGACTGTAGAACAAGTAGGAAACTGAATTAAACAAACATGGCTAACCAAGGCTACCAGGGCAGCCGGGAGGCCAGGGTCCCTGATGCTAAAGAGAAGCTCAGTGAGGGGAGCCTGTGGTCCCGGCTGTGTTTCCCTCGGAGGCATCTGTCCGTCAAGGGCAGGAAGGCCGAGAGGCTCCAGAGCTGGGCACAGTGAGCAGCCCAGGTGTCCGGGCCTGTGAGGACGCGCCGAACTTGAGGAGAAAAGGGAGCCGCAGGGGGTGAGAGTGACGCTTGATGCCGCTTTTCCCTCAGAGTCCTCAGAGGTGGAAGGTGACGCTGGGAGGCTGAGCAGCTTAGGAGCGCCTTCAGAAGTTCCATCTCGTTAGAAAGAGGAAATTGGAGTCCAGGTTCCCCACACAGGAGGAGGGGCTTGGTAACTGTCCGGACATTCAGCTGGGACACTCAGGGTCTTTCCTCCTGGGAGTCCGAGGCCCCCGGAGTGGACGAGTCCTCCCAGGGGCTGAAACCTGAGGGGGCGCAGCACCAGATGGACCAAGACTGCAGGCCTGCGGCCTGGAGCAAAAGCAGGCCTCCCTGCAGATCACGTCCATCCCTCCCAGGTGGCCGGAACCTGGAGACAGCATGCTTCTGCCTCCGTCTCGTCTCCATCGCCCGTCCAGTGCCTGGCTCGTCGTAAATCCTCAGTAAGCAGTTATGAAGAGAACAAAGAAAGCACGTGAAGTATTTTGATTTAAAAAGTTCCCTCCAGGACTTTCCCTGGTGGTCCAGTGATTAAGGGTTCGCCTTACGATGCAGGGGACATGGATTCAATGCCCGGTTAGGGGACTAACCACCCCCTCCCCGCCCCGCCATGCTGCAGGGCAGCCAAACCTGAGAGCCTCACACCCCAGTCAGAAAGTCCGTGTGCTGCAACGAAGACCCGGTACAGCCAGATAGATAACCGTCTTTTAATTCTCGGGGAAAGGAAGCTCTGTCTGCAAAGACTGGTGTGATGCTGTGTGCCGTGTCCTGCTGCAGCAGCAGACCTGAGTGAGAGGACTTAGCTGGGAGCCTGGCCTCGGGCGCCTTTACCCTCAGCTGCAGATTCCAGAGGGAAAGGATTAAAATACAATTGCCTGGGGGACGCCCCTGGTGGTCCCGAGGTTAAGATCCTGTGTGCTGCCAACGCAGGGGATTCAGGTTCGATCCCTGGTCTGGCAACAAAGTCCCACGTGTCGTAAGCTTGACCAAAAGATTAAATGAAATGAAACAAAACCCTACATGCAGGCACATCATAATAAAATTTCTGAAAATTCAGGACAAAAAGAGAAATTTTAAAACTAAAGGAAAAGAAGCTATGTTACCTCCCATGGAAGAACTAAAAGGGGCAGGAGAGGGTGGAGACCAAGCCCTGTTGGGGAAACAGGCACCTTCTGTCTGGGCAGGAAGGGGAGCTGGGTGGGTGCAAACCGGAGCAGGTTAACTTTGGTTGTCAGGAGGATTCGAGAATTCCAGGCTAGTTTTTGGTTTTTTTTTCCTTTTTGAGAAGTGGGAAGTGGGGTTTACTTGTCAAGCATGAGAAGAAAGAGCAGGGAGAAGTTCTAAGTGAAGTGAAAGTCGCTCAGTTGTGTCCGGCTCTTTGCGACCCCATGGACTATACAGTCCATGGGATTCTCCAGGCCAGAACACTGGAGCGGGTAGCCTTTCCCTTCTCCAGGGGATCTTCCCAACCCAGGGATCGAGCCCAGGTCTCCCGCGTTGCAGGTGGATTCTGAACCAGCTGAGCCACAGGGAGGCCCCTTGAAGAAGGGGTGACATGCTTGTTGTGAGAGTGCGTCAGCACGGCTGGCCCCGTGCCGCAGTCGGGGCTGGTGACGGCAGGGCGGACCTGGCCCCTCACACTCACGCTGGGCTTCTGGTCCGCCCTACTATGCGCACACCTGCTCAGGGCAGGGATGCATACACAGCACAGCTGACTCAGCCAGCCTGGTGTCCAGAATCATAGAGCAGCCGGGAAGCACTAGAAACACTCATCCTTCATTGTGTAAGATAAGCAGAGGTCAAAGAAGGTTGAGACCCACCCAAAAATTACAGGGCAAGTGAGAAGTAGCAGCTGGAAGTGGGCCCGGGTTCTTCATTCCTTGGGCGGTTGACTAACGGCAGTGTCTCTGAGTAACCCAGCGGCGTATCTGCTTGGTGGGGAAAGTGCAGCCGCAGATAATTGAAAGGCCAGTAGGCACGTCCTTTGGTCTTCTGCATTCTTTCAGCGATAACTCGGGGCTTCACCACTGGGAGGGTTTTCTCTGCTTCTGTTTTCCCTGTAGACAGATCAGGATCTCCAAGAAAGTTGAGCCTCTGAGCAGTAAACAGGGTTGATGGAGAGGTGCTGGCCTAGAAGAACATCTAAGAACCCAGACTGACTTTTATTAGAGCCGGGGGCTCTGTCTGGCTGTGAAAAGAAAAGTCTCAGCACAAAGCAAAGGAGAACTCATTAAAGCGGGCAGGGAGCCTGTGGCGACTTTCTCTGAAGGTCACGTGCTATCTGCTGTGACCGCAAGCAAGGCCTCCTGATGCCCTTCGATTTTCACAAAGGTAGAAATCAAGGAAAGTCAATTGAAACCACAGTTATGTTAAAACAAATAAATAGATAAATCTTGATTTCCCCAAGAGCACGGGGAGAGCATTACCACAGGGAAGTCAGACAGCGGTGGTGGAGCCAAACACACGTGCCCCAGGCCCTGACTCGTAGTGGCTATGTGATCTTGAGCACTTTTCTCATCCTCCACAGCCTCGGTTTCCTGATCTGTAGAGTGGGGATCTATTTCATAGGATTGGTGTGAGGCTCAATGGCTATTTTGTGTGAGAAAAAGAAAACTAAGTACCGTGCCTAGGCTTAGTGAGTTTACTCAGCTTTTGAAACCAAATGATGTGGTCACTCTTTGTAAGCTGAGTGGATCATTTCCTTTTTTCTTTTTCTTTCCTTTTCTTTTCCTTTTT